TGATTAGTCGTGTTAACGTCTCCTTCCGTATCCGTTCTGCCTCCACGATGTCCTCTTCTCGCTCCAATATCTCACTTAAGGCGCTTATCGCCTTCTCACCTGAGATGTTTGTGTACATTGACTGTACATCGAAACTCACCAACAGCTCCGACTCCACTGACCCAAAGTTCTGGATCCTTTGCGAAAATTCATAAGAATTCTTGACGGTATTCAGGATTCTGTCATTTACTTTCTTGAGCTTCAAGCAAATGAATTTCGCTAATTTATGCATTGCTCCATGCTTGTTGTTGACTGTTAGTCTTAGACGATTGCCTTCCTTGTGTATCCTGTGGTCCATTGCCGCCATAATGCTATTCACGACCCGGTATCGATACCAGATGAGTGCTGATGAGCCATAGGCGAGATCGAAACTGCAATCGGCAGCATTTTAGAAGGTAAGGGTGAGGGAACTTTAATAACATCCTGGGAACTACTTATCCAAATATGGGAAAACTCAACTATCAATCTATAAATCAACTAGGGTTACTAAGTTCTTATAAGACCAAGTGTCTAAGGTAGGAAACCTTGATAATAGTTACTTCCTACATTTTAATAAAAAAAAGACTATAGAGCAAAGACCATAGTTTGAAATCTTCTAAAGTTGTTAGATAAAAACTTATCTTTAATTTCGACGAACATAAAAGAAAAGCCTGGACAAAACGTGACTTACCTGACGCAATAGGCTGCAAGTTATTGCAACAGGAACTATAGAGCCTTCTTTCATATGGTCTTCAATCTTGGCACCATACACCGAGAGAGGGTTTAGCATTTCAGCTCGAAGCAACTCACCAGCGGAAAGGTGCTTATATCCATATTCCTATGAGAAATTTAGAAAAAATATCAATTAATATAAAGATATAAGGATCAGCACAACAATATGTAAAGATAATTGCATAAAAGGCAATAAAAAATGTCAAGTAGTTGCCTGACCTCGTTTCGCAACTTGGTCTTATTGGCAGGAAGACCTAGAGGAGCATAGCTTGTCCGGAATCCATAGTATGCATGACAATCTACAGTCAGACCGTGGACTTGGTACATTCCCAGACATTTCGCCGGCATTGTCAGTCCTGCCAGTCCCAAAACTAAGCTACCCGTCAGAGACAAGTGAAGTCAATCCCTTGATCAACTTAGTGCTGAAACGGTTGTGCTATCATTTCTCGAGCCTCCTGTCCAGATCTACCTCATACCCCTAGCTCCGTATTTTATCTTTTTTGTTGACCGATTTAACTCGGTTCCAGCGCCAGCGCACTTTTACTCCAAGTACTACTTCTTAAGCCTTCAGGAGCACGTACAATGTAGCCTCACCTACAGAGAGCCTTGGCTCTCATTCCCATGCTTATGGATATTAGGCATTGCTTTCACGCATCTTCTTGATTAATATAGTGTACCCTGAGCAAACTGTGAAAATCTATCTCTGGTTACCTGAAACATCTCAAGTGGATTATTAGTCCATTTGCTCATAATGCCCAAGAGTTATGTAATCCAATCCCCCTCCCTAATCACGTGAAACTTCAGGCCCCAAAGTTGTAGATATTTATTGA